GGGGGGAGACCCGAGGGTTTAAGGGGAGAAGCCCAATGTTTGGGGACCCTGCAACTCCTGCCAGGACCTCACCCCGAGAGCCAGGGTTGGGGTGAGGGGGGTGGGGGGGGTCCCCGGGACCTACCCTCTCCATGGGAGACGCGGTTGGGGGGCAGGGGCCCCCGCACGTGGACGATGCCGCAGCGGTTGGGCATCTCGTCCTCGTTGATGTACTCAGAGGTGTTGTAGTAGTCGACTGAGTGGACGATGCGCAGGTAGAGCAGGAGCCGGTCCAGCACCTGGGGACGCAGGGGGGCATCGGGGGGGGACGGACAAACATCAGTGGGGACACAGGGACATTGGGGGCACAGAGGAGACATGGAGCAGGGACGGGGGGACATCAGGGGGAGACGGCGCAGGGATGGAGGACGGGACACACACACACGGGGACGATTGGGGACAGCCAGGGGGTCCCGGCCAAGCTCCCCCCGCCCCCGCGTCCCACCTTGAGGAGCTTCTCGTCCCTCTCGACGGTGACCTCAGTGGGGTTGGCCTCGCGGGGCCCCTCCTCGGTGTCCCCCCCACCGCGCCCCAGCAGCTCCTCCTCCTCCGCGCTCACTTCCTCGATCAGGTAATCCGTGATGTGCTTCAGCACCGGGTTCTGCGACGGCACCGCCTGCGCGGGGGGGACTGTGAGGGACCCAGGAGGACGGGGGCACCACGAGAAGGTCCTAGGGACCATGAGAATGTCTTGGGGACCACGAGAAGGACCATGAGAAGGTCCTAGGGACCATGAGAATGTCTTGGGGACCACCAGGGCCCACGAGGACGACTTGGGGACCACGAGAAGGACCATGAGAAGGTCCTAGGGACCATGAGAATGTCTTGGGGACCACGAGGAGGACCATGAAAATGACTTCGGACCACACCAGGGACCACGAGGAGGTCCTGGGACAAACGAGAAGGATTTGGGGACCACCAGGGGACAACTCTGGGGACCACCAGGGGACAACTCTGGGGACCACCAGGGACCACAAGAAGGTCCTGGGGACCATGAGAAGACAGTGGGGACCATGAGGGGGCGGCAAGGGCTGCGCGGACCATGTGGGGACCACAAGGGGACGGGGGGGGGACGACAACACCGACGGGCCACAACACAGGTGACAGACCCCACCAGAGGACACGCCTGCGCCCCACTCCCAGCACCCCACTCACCCCAGCGGCAGCCGCCGCAGCAGCGGCAGCGGGGTCCCCATCCCCATCGGGGTTGGGGGGCGCGTCTCCCCCTCCCAGAGCTGCTCCCCCTCCCGGGGTGGGGGTGGGAGCCCCCCAAAGCTGGGCACGGCCGTCGAGGGCGTGGACCAGGCGGGCGGCCAGCTTGATATCATTGCGGACAATGGGGCGGTGCTGGGTGATGCCACTGACGTTGCGCACCCGCCGTGTCAGGTCCCGGTTCACCCCCGGGCTCAGTTCGCAGTCACGCAGCTGGGGGGGACAAAAGCGGGGAGTCAGCTCCCCCAAACAAGCCCCACCGTAGCTCCAACCCTTCCTGAACCCCCAAATCCCCCACACACTCCCTGCACCCCTGAGCCCCTAAACACCCCCCAAACCACCTCCTGCAGTCAGCTGCACCTCAGACCCCATAACATCTGACTGCCCCCATATCCACCCTGCACCCCAAAACTGCTCCCGGAGCTCCCACCTCCCCCCCACCCCCCCAAGCTGCCCCATAACCTCCCCACAGCGATCCCCCAAATCCACCCCGTGAGACTATCAACTCAGCCCTGCAACCACTCCTACTCCCCTCCCCCAAGACACCCCCCGACCC